GTGTGTGTGTGTGTGTGTGTGTGTGTGTGTGTGTGTGTGCGTGCGTGCGCGCGCGCGTGACCACTTCCTTCCAGAGCAGTAGGGAATGCCACTTTGTAATTTTCCATCTATTTTTACACGGCAGGAGAAAAGCAAATACACACACACGCACACACACACACACACACTGGCAGGGGGGTTCAAGCTAAATCTCAGGTCTGCTGGGAAATCTTGGCAATGTTTCAGGTGTTCCCCTTCACAGACACACACTCACTCATTCACACATACATACACACACAGACATTTGTTTATATTGGACACATGCAGAAGTCGAGACCCTTTCAAAAAATATACAGCATTTACAAAAACGCACTATAGGTTTTTGGACATTACCATGAAAATAATACCATATATTTTTTTATCACACATTCGTTCTTTTTTTTTTGTTCTTTTTTTTTTTCAAATGGTATGTAAATACGACAGTAAATGAATATGGGAGTAATACCAAACCATAGTAGATATTAATTTTTGTATTATATTATATTATGTATTATACATTACTGTTCAAAATTTGGGGGTCAGTAAGATTTTTTAAATGTTTTTAACAGAAGTCTTTTATGCACACTGAGGCTGCATTTATCATCAAAAATACATTCATTTTGTGAAATATTATTACAACTTAAATGAAGTGTTTTCTGTTTTAATATATTTTTTAATTTAATTTCTTCCTGTGATGACACATCTGATTTTTATGAAAACTTCTGTATAATATTTTTGTGGAAACCATGATACATTGTTTCAGGATTCTTTGATAACTATAAAGTTCAAAAGAACAGCATTTTTGTTTTTCAATCGAAACCCTTTGTAACATTATAAATGTCTTCGCTGTTGCTTTTGATCAATTTACTGCTTTCTTGATGAATAAAAAAAAAATCATACTGATCCCAAGCATTTGAATAGCATTGTGTTTACTTAATTATCTTATATTATAATTATCTTTCTTGTAATGTATTATACAATAATCTTATATTATATTATAGCTATTTATAATATTTAATTTATTCTATAAAATATATCACCGTAATAGTGTACATAATGATTTTGTCTGTAAATTTAATGAAAAAAAAAAGGTTTATATATTAAATATATTAAACATTAGTTTGTTGACCTTTTGTTTGGAACCTAATAAATGCCAACTAAAGGGCAAGATAATTTGTTACAATTAATAATATATACCATCATACCCCCCAGCTCTGGTAGAGCCACAGTACTGTTTTCTGAAGGAGGAAGAGTGAAAAACAGATGAACTATGAACACGTGTCTTGAGTCGTATGAGAAGATCTACTGTGAATAAAGGCCAGTGAGAGTCGTGAATCTAGTACTGGCCTCATGTGCTTGTTTGAGAGAGAAACAGCGGTAAAGATCTAAAGAAATTGTTTCAGTGCAGATGTGGACAGAAGAACATTGTCTAGTGTGTGTGTGTGTGTGTGTGTGTGTAACAGCTCTTTTGGCCATGTTGAATCGTGCTGGCTGGATGAAAAGCACACTGTGAGGCTGCTGACGCTGACTGCCGTGGGCCAAAGTCCACACACACACACACACACACACACACACACACACACACAGCTCAGCTTTATCTATCATCCTTCCATCTGACAGAATGATAGATCTGTTATCTCTGCCTG